CTTCCCCCAGGCCCAGGGACGTGGAAAGAGCAGCAGAACAGAAATATTCCAACATGAAAGGGAAATATGATTCCTTCCTCTCCTTTTTCCTCTTTCTTCCTAAGTCTGATCAATTTTGTAAGTGAAACTTGTTATTAAAACTTGAAATTTCTTTTAGGAAAATCTCCAATTAGAAAATTAAATTATTAGTGTCTAAGTGTGGCAGACTGAAAAAACAGAAGCTTTAAGAAATAAAGGCATGTATAGAGAACTGGCCATCATGTGCTGGGTACTAAAGGATGCACTGATCAGGCTCTAATGTGGTACTACAGTGAGAGCCATTTATTTGCCTGTGTGAGCTTAGGCAGCTCTTGAAATCTGTGTCCTCTTTAGAAAAGGGAAATGAACACCCAGGACCCAGATGTTGGTCTCTAAATATCATTCTCCAATAAAAGGTACTGGGGCTCCTTAGAAAAATAGCTGATTTTAGGGCTGAGACAGAAAAAAAATACAAAATGAGCCTAGAACATCTTGTAATGCCAGTGCACCTCCCAAAAAATGGGGCATGTCGAAAGGACACAGGAGCCAAGAAAACTGAAACAACGCAAGCAACAAAATGACAATTAGATTATAACCCAGAATGCAGAATACATATCCATGAGTCCATACTGAATTATATAAATGACTGAAAATTTCTAAATGAGGAAGAAAGGATGAATCTTCCTTACAGAAGATTTCTAAGTAATATATGGAGAGAATCCCCCTTCCAGGAGGTGGAGTTTAATTCCCTCCCCTTGAATGTGGACTACACTTGGGGACTTCCTTCCAAAAAATAGAACATGGAAAGAAAAAAATTACTACTAACCGTAGTTACTACAGTTGACCCTTGAACATGAGTTTGAACTGCATGGGTCCACGTGTGCGTGGGTTTTTTTTAATAAATGTGTAAAGCATTGTAAACATAATGGCCGTCGTGTGTTAGGTACTAAAGGCTGCACTGAACAAGAATTTTCTCTTCCTTAAGATTTTCTTAATAACATTTTCTTATAAATATTAACACTTGATTTGGTTGTTGGATACATTTGAAAGAAATAAATTTTTTATTTAAAAAAACATTTTACTTTCTCTGGTTTACTTTATTGTAAGAATACAATATATAATACATAAAATGTACAAACTACTAATCGACTTTTGGTAAGGCGTCCCATCTACAATAGGCTACTATTAAGTTTTGCAGGAGTCAAAAGTTATACACAAAATTTCGACTGTGCAGGGGATCCGTACCCCTAACCCTTGCATTGTTCAAAGGTTAATTGTACTTTAAAGTGGAGAAACATGGCAAACATAACCTAAATCAAGTGATAAAGGTCATGTTGATATCATGCACCCCTGATATGATGTGATAAGGGCACTTCATGTCTGTGGCATTCTTTTCCAAAATCCATAACCCCAATCTAATCATGACAAAACAAACAAACCCAAAATGAGTGACATTCTACAAATTATATGTTTGGTACTCTTCAAAACTTTCAGGGTCATGAAAACAGGTAGAGTAAGAAATTCAACAGTTCAGAGGAGAAAAGGAGGCCTGACAACTTAATGCATTAAGGTACCCCGGATTTGATCCTAGAACAGAAAAAGAACATTAATGGAAAAACTGGTAAAATCCAGATAAAGTCTATAGTTTAGCTAATAGTATTGTACCAATGTTAATTGTTTAGTTTCTTAGCCTTAACATGATTTTGTTAGATGTTAACATTAAGAGAAGCTGGGTGAAGGGTATACAGGAACTCTGTGTTCTAGCTTTATAATTCTTCTGTATATCTAACGTTATTCAAAAAATAATTTTAAAAAGTGAAATGAAATAAACAATCCAAATAGACTTACATTTATAAAAGAAATTAAATTAATAATTAGTAACATACCAAAACAGAAAGCACCAGGCCCAGATGGGTTCACTAGTGAATTCTACCAAACACTTAGGCAAGAAATTATACCAATTCTCTACAATCTCTTCCAGAAGGTAGGAGAGGGAACAGTTCCTAATATATTCTGTGAGGCCAACATTATTCTAATACCAAAACCAGACAAAGACATTACAAGAAAATTATAGACCAATACATCTCATGAACATAGATGCAAAAATCCACAACAAAATATTAGCAAACTGAATTCACAGTATATAAAAAGAACTATCCACCACAAAGTGAGATTTATCTCAGGTGTGCAAGGCTGGTTCAACATGTGAAAATCAATTAATGTAATCACATTAACAGGCTAAAAAGGAAAAATCACATGTTCATATCAATAGATACAGAAAAAGTATTTGACAAACTCCAACACCCACTTCTGATTAAAAACTCTTAGCAAATTAAGAATAGAGGAATTTTCTCAACTTGATAAAGAACATCTACAAAAGAAAAATAACAACAACAAAACAGACAATGCTAACATCATACTCAATAGTGAGAAACTAGAAGCTTTCCTGACAAGATCAGGAAAGGCAAGGATGTCCCCTCTCACCACTCTTTTCAACATCATACTGCAAGTTCTAGCTAATGCAGTAAGACGAAAAAGAAAAAAAAAAAGAAATGAAAGGTATACAGATTGGGAAGAAATAAAACTTTTTGTTGGCAGATGACATGATCATCTATGTAGAAGATCCAAAGAATCAACAACAGCAACAATAAAAACCTCCTGGAACAACTAACAAGCAATCAGCAAGGTTGCAGGATACATGCAAAAGACAATTATTTTCCTATATGCCAGCAATAAACAAATGGAAGCTGAAATTCAAATATGATGTCATTTACATTAGCACCATCCCCCAAAAATGAAATACTTAGCTATAAATCTAACAAAATATGTACAAAATTTATGAGGAAAACTATAAAATTCTGATGAAAGATGTTAAAGAACTAAATAGATGTTCCATGTTCGTGGATAGGAAGATTCAATATTATGAAAATGTCATTTCTTCTCAGTGTAATCTATAGATTCAACACAATCCAAATTAAAATCCTAGCAAGCTATTTTGTGGATATTGACAAATTGATTCTAAAGTTTATGTGAGGAGGCAAAAGAGCCAGAATAAACAGCACACTATCGGCAAAATCAGGATTGACACTACCTGACTTTAAGACTTACTGTAAAGCTACAGTAATCAAATAGCGTGGTATTAGTGAGAGAACTGACAAATAGATCAGCCGAAGAGAATAGAGAACCTGGAAATAGACCCACATAATCAACAGATTTTTGACAAAGAAACAATGGAGAAACAATGGTTTTTTTCAACAAATGGTACTGAACAACTAGACATCCACATATAAAAAAAAAAAAAGTGAAAATTTGCCATGAAAGTCAATTGTGACAAGAATAAGTGCCCAGCAGTCTGACATTTAGTAAGTGCTCACATTAATGTAATGGGAGGACTTCGATATTCTTAAGTACCCATCTCCACAAGTGTCATGTGAAGGGTACAAATGGTCATGTCAGTCACGCCAGCCCTGCCAATTTGCTGGAAAGGATGCAAGACTAAAGGTACCATTGGCAGACTGGCCTCAGAGACCTCTGCAGCCCTTTGACTTTGTGGATACTTCCCATTACCCCTGTTTGTCCTTGGGTGAATACAGGCCCCTCCTGCAGAGGCCAGACCAGAACTCTCATTTAAGAATCGATTAATGACTCGGGAATAACAAAAGGAAATAAACATATACAGTAACATAAATTTATAAAATCCTGTTTACATATATTTATCTTTATTCCTTTATTTCCATGAGACACACAGCTCATTCAGTGGTTTTAAAATGACCCACATACCAACCCTGTCTTTTGCTCTCACAAAGCCAAAATCCAGTCTTTTAACTTATGGTTTAGGACTACTTACTGTAAATTATTTAGTGAGTCCATTTTTAGAGCTCACAATCTAAAATAAAAACTCAAGATGGCTGAATGTCTAGTTTTCAGGAAAGATTGCTATTAGAGTATCATTTAGATTGTCTGATAAGTTTCATTTCTTAATTCCTAATCTTTTTATTTTATAAATGTGGTTAGTTTCAATGTTAGCTTTTTGTGGGCTGATTAACCTTAAATTGGATAGTTTCTAGGCCTCTTATGTTCCAATAATTAAGACTTTAAGCTATGCACACACTGAAATTCAGATATGAATCATGCACAACCCTATCACTAAGGCACAAGGGAAAGCTTCTCCCCAAATTTTGTAGGGGTACATGGTTTTTCTCACTTAAGTGTGAACATGTCATCTAATGGAGATTATGAGGTCCTTGGCTTCATCTAAAGGTGCTTCAGCCACCTCACTCCCAAGTTTGAGAACCACTGACTTCCAGGAAAGGTTTCCCCAACTCCTCTCTGAATTGTGTCATGTCCCAAAGACAGCAAGCTGGTTTGCAGCTGTCCACTCTCCAGCAATCTTGCCTTCTGAAGCGAGTTTTTCTGAGGACCTACCTTTCCCCAGATCAAAACTGTCTATTCCCTTTTGAGCCACCTCTGCCCAAGGGTATGGCTGTGCCCCTCGGCCACAACAGGACATTGCAGAACACACTACAGAAGTCTGACACTATACACCAGACTCGTACACACAAGATGTATGGATACTTTTGTTCTAGGGTAAATCTGAAGGGAGGGCTCACTGGTTCAACAAAGGTTGAAACCTGTGTCATGCTGTCCAGAGCCAAGGGTATAGTGATACAACTGTGCTGAAACCTACTAAAGAAAGCAAACCCCTACAACATGCAAGGCACGACAGGGACAAGGAGGTCATTCTGGGACAGCAAGGAAAATAAAAGAAAAATCAATGAGCGAAGTCAATGGATAGCTTTCAAGTCATGCAGACCTGCATGTGCACCCTCCAGCTGTGGAGCCTTGAGCACATCTGGCTCAGAGCAGCTACCAACAGACTTTGCCAGATGAGTGGTTGGTGAATGACTGAGCCAGCAAAACCAGTGATGTAATTCTTACCTTGTAGAATGGAGAGTAAGACATAGTGTTATAAAGACACAAGATGTGATAGGTTGGATGTTAATGTTCTGAAGCAAGTTCTGCCTAAACTGGCAGGAACATTTTCGTATCAAGAACAGGAATGTCCAGCACCAGGTTGGGAGGGAGATGGAGGCAGGGCTAGGGGCAGGGCCAGGCACTGAAGTGAAGCGAAGACCCAGAAGCCCGTTCCTGGTAGTTGTTGGGCAGCTCAGACAGCTGCCTCACTCACCATGGTTCTCCCTCTGCCCTGGCTCTCCCGATATTGCTGCCGTTGCCTCCTCCTTCCTTCCTGGCCACTGGCTCCTCAGGGGTCTTGAAGGTGCTGCTCCCAGAGACCCAAGGTGAGCACAAAAGAGCAGACCATCTCCACAGGCAGTGGGAAGATAAGGACCCCCATGAGGGTAAGTGGTACCAGCAGCAGGGGTAGCCAGCATGAGGGAAGATTTGTCCTGGGGCAGGGGGAACCTCCTTCTCATACTGCACCACAGACCAAAAGCAGATGTAAACCCAGGTTCTTGGAGCTTGTTGCCTAGCTCCAACTCTCAGCTTCCCAGCATCTTCCCCTCCCCCACCCACTCAACCTCAGGGATCCCTCTCCCAGCACCCCTCCCTCCCTGCAGTCCACTAAGTCCTTGAGAGCAGGAATTACTCCTAAGTTATTTCTGCGGCAGCAGGGAAGGGCTGCCTATCTTCTCCCTCTCATGCCGTTTCCTTGTACAATGAGTCGTTACAGCCCCTGGGCCAGTGATCTCTTAACTGCCCCCCTAGAGGCTTATACCTAAGATAGGAAGCTACCCTGTCTTTGCAGTATACACGACCTTAAACTAATGGGGTCAAAAACAGGAAAGGCAGAATTCCTGATTTCCAGGGAACCTCAGCCCTCTGCTCTGGCTGATGCTCCCCCTCCTCCATGTTCCCCTCTCCTAGGCTCCCCCGCCCAGCCACACGGCTGAGCTGGCCCAAGCTGAAGAGTTGCCAGAGCAGCAGCTGGAGCTGTACCAGGCCCTGCTGGAAGGGCAAGAAGGAGCCTGGGAAGCCCAGGCCCTGGTACTCAAGATCCAGAAGCTGAAAGAACAGATGAGGAGACACCGAGAAAGCCTGGGAGGAGATGCCTAAGCTTCTCAGCAGTTCCCACTTCACCCTCCAACAGTGAAAATACCTGCCCTGAATCTTCCCGTCAGAACCATACCAGCCCCTCCCAAGCAACTAAGAAAAACTGAAGACACCTCTAGAAAAAGCCAGAAATTAGAAAGCAGTGGGGGGCCATGACTTCTAGTCTTTTTAGTCATATCCCCCACTCTAAACCCTCCCACTGACCTCAGCGCCGCAGCAGGGTATCCAGTCCTTACAGGATGATACCCTGGAGCATGCCCTCAAATAACCTCACCCCGAATCCAATAAAGGGAAGGAGCGCTTACAGACACCACAGACACATGTGTTTTTTAGTTTTGTTAAAAAAAAAAGTTCTGACAAATCAGGAAACGGGGGTTTAGAAGTGGTGATGCAAAAGTCATGGGGTAGGGTGGAATGAGGGATCATCAGGGGTAGGTGGCAGTAGTGTCTCCATCACTCCCACACCTGGTGTCATCTCCTGAAGAGGAACAGACTCACATTCCAGAATGGATGGATAAATCCTCTATCGTGTCTGTTCAACTGAAGAGAAAATATGGCAGTTAGAATAAGACATGAAAAAGAAAAGGTTAAGTTGGCAAAAACACACACACCCATAAGTGCAGATGTCTGCGTAATATGAGGATCCAAAGGATTGACTTGGTGGTGGAGAAACAGAAATAACTGGAAGAAAGACCCCATATAGAAGTCAACTAAACATCCCAACACAGCATCGTGACGGAGGTGGAGGGAGGAGGGAACTGAACTTGTTAAGCATCCATTATATACTATGGGCTTTAAGACAAAAATATTGAGGAACAAGAAGAATTTAAGAGTTGGGGGAGCCTGTTTCTTGTGATCAATACTCACTGTAGGAAGAAATGTCTATCTCATCGGGCAGCTCACTAATATTGACCTCAAAGCGATCTTGCACATCATTCAGGATCTTGGCATCATTCTCATCTGACACAAACGTGATGGCCAAACCCTTGGTGCCAAACCGGCCTGCTCTAGCCACCTAAAAGGAAAAGGAAGGTAGGACTGAAGACCCCAAAGAAGGAAGACACCAAAAAGGAGGGATGAAGACGTAAGGTATAAAGATAATAGAAAATAAGAATGGAAGAGGTCACTGGGAGGGCCTTGTGGGTGTGGGGCTTACCCGATGCAGGTAGGTGTCAGAGTCCTCAGGCATGTCGTAGTTAAATGCAATGTTCACCCGCTCAATGTCCATGCCTCGGCCAAATAGGTTTGTTGCCACAAGAATTCGTCGTTGAAAATCTTTAAACTGCTGATACCGAGAAAGCCTTCGTGAGAAAGGAAATCAGAAAAATGTTGAGAGTCTCTTCTCTCAATGGTCTTTTTCCTTCCAAGGATACAAAACACCCTCCTCATCTCCAACTCACCTCTCCTCCTGGGGCATCCCACGGTGGATGGCAATGGCTGGGAAGTTCTGCTCCACGAGGAGCTGGGCCAGGGCAATGCAGCGCTGCACAGACTTCACAAAGATCACCACCTGTTTGTGTGTGTGTGCATGCGTGCCGAAGAGATGTGGGTTCATGTGAGAGAGACTGTATTTAAGAGTTGTTTTCAGTAATTACATTGTTCTAATAGAATTCCTTAGTCCCTATATTTCCTCTTCTGCTCTAAATATAGCTTTACCCTAATTCTAAAAAGCTTTTCATGCAAATAAACCATTTAACAGGTAGTGATGGAATGCTGCTCCTCAGTAAACAGTACAAGAAACAAATTTAAGAACTTAACAGGATCAAAATGTTTCAGGACTTTTATCACCTTATTAAAACTCTTTAAGAATTTTTTTTGAGGTTTATGTACTGAGGTTTTTATTGAGTACCTGTGCAACTATGAGACAGAAAAGCAGTTCTCATCTTGCTCATATTCAGCTCCAAAAGACATTTATATTCTCATTTACAATAATTTCACTTAAGAAAATTTCTCCCTAAAGAAGCTGTGGCACATTTATACGATGGAATATTACTCAGCCATGAAAAGAGATGAAATACTGCCATTTGCAACATGGATGGACCTTGAAATAATCATACTAAGCGAAATAAGCCAGACAGCGCTGAAAATCATATGAGATCAGTTGTATGTAAAATATAAACTTAAAAGCAACAAATGAACATGACAGAGACACATGGACAATGGACTAGTGGTTACCAGAGGGGAGTGGGGAAGAGGGAGAGGGAAAAAATAAAATGTTAAAAAAACAAATAATTTCTCTACCATTTTCTCATACCATGTATGTGGTTTCCTCAATAAGGTACTGAATACAGGTTTCTCTTACAGTTGGAGACATGTTCATCCCCCCCCACTAGAACTTAAACAACCGACCTGGTTGAACTCAAGGACATCCAGAAGGTCAAAAAGCTTCCGATTCTTCTCGTTGTCCTTCAGTTTCACGTAGTACTGCTGCAACCCATGCAGGGTTAGCTTCGTCTCATCATCCACGAAGATCTCCATTGGCTGGGGGAGGGGGGAAGGGGCAGGGAACGGGAGGAGGGCAGAGTGGGGGGGTTAAACCTGGGGGGGGTGGAGTAAGCTGATCTCCAATACACCCCATGGGGGGATGGGGAGAAGAGAGAAAATTGAAAACTTCATCCCGCCCATCCAAAACACCCAGATTTTATTATGGTCTCTTCCATATTAGATCTAATTTCTTTCCTATCATTGGAACTCTAAGACTGCCCAACTGAAAACTCAAGGAAAAGGAACTGCAAGGAGAAAAAGGAGCAGTGAAACCACCCAAAGGCAAGATGCCATTACCTCAAATGGAGATGAAGAAAAAAAACAATGGAAGAAGATTCTCAGAGAGAATATGATCTAAACACCTGAGGAATGACTGGATATACTGATTCGAGATCACAATAATTCCATCACAGCAGGTGTTAAGAAAATGAGGGAGAGGACAAGGACTGCTCCATTTGAGTATTCTCTCAACTAGGAGAATCAGATCCACGTTAAGGTGGAATGCTACAATGGACACAATCGAAAAGCCATGAAAAGAGAAGCAAAGATTACTCAAGGTGAGTAACAACTTGCCCTTGATCACAAGGGAATAGTTTCAGATGAGAATGGTCTCTTAACTAAGAATCCAACCATCTGCAGTTACATGGAAGGTATCAGTAAAGCTGTGCTAAGAAATTCAGAATTGCAGATATGCATTTATCTTTTTTAAAAAACCAAAACAACCCTTGAAGGGGAGGAAGGTAGCCATAAAAAAAAAAAAAAGATAGAAATTGACACAAGACCCAATTCCAGAGCCCAACTTTCCTAGCAGGCTTCACTGACTTGGGGACATAGTTAACATCAAGACCCGGGACCCAAGATTTTGGGAAAAGAAGTGCATGGGAGACACCAGAAGCCGGATCGCAGAAGGCAGGCTTTCCGAAAAGAAGTTCCACAGCCTCCTTCACATCTAATTGCCCCCCTAAGGACAAGGAGGGGTTATCATCCATGAGAAGGAGCAGGGCAGGGATGTTAACAACACACTCCACTGCTCACAGAACGGGCCCACCCAGCCCCAAACCCTAACACCCACATAGTTACATCCAAATGGAGTTCCTCACTTCGCCTTTCCTATGCCCCTCTTCCCTGAGCACTAAATAAAAGAAAAAAACCTACCACCCCATTCAGGACAACCCTCCCCACCCCAACACATATGAAGGGAAAGGAGGGGTACAGCACGCCTTGGGTTCAGGAAAAAAACCGGGAACGAAAAAAGAGGCTGGTTTGGTCCTCGGCTTCCTGGTCAGGTTTCCCCGCGGCCTCCGCTGCCGCCATCCACCGCTGGGTGCTGTCCACATTCCCCCGCCGCGCCACGGTGCTTCTCTGCTGCTGGCTCACATCGGCCGAGGTTCCAGATGGGTGCGAGGAGGTACGGGTGGGAAGGTGTAGGGGACCGGGGACTGAGGTGCCAAAGGCCCCCACCCCTGGAGGTGGGGAGGGAGCGGAATCATTTGTGCTGTTTGCTCTTCTTTTGGACATGCCCTGCCATCTGTCTGTCCCTCTCTTGCTCTCCTGCCACCGGGAGGTTACGAGTTTTGGGGGCAGAAGCCTCCAGTTGTATGCTCGATGCCACCTTGAGGGTGAGTGGCTGTAGGGGATATGTAGGAGACGATGGGTGGGTGGTAGGGCAGACAATTCTGCCCTCCCCCCAAAAAAAGAAGAGGTTCAAAAATGACATGATTAAAAAAAAAAGTCGAACACTACCCGCTCTCACGTTAACCCGACCAAGTCTTCCGGCATTTCCCTGGCACCCGCGCAGACCCTAATACTAGCTGTCTCTGCCTCTGTGTCTCTTCAAGGAGTCATCGCTCCCAGATGGGCATGTGCCCCCTTCTTGGCGCTTTAAGGACAAGGGAGTCTGGAGGAAGAGGGCACGGAAGGGGAGGAGGCAGTGGGCAGGGAGTGGAGGAAGAGAAGGTAGAAGGGTATTTACGTCTTGCATGAACTTGCGGCAGACTGGACGGATCTCTTTGCTCAAGGTAGCACTGAACATCATGACCTGCTTCTCATGGGGGGTCATGCGAAAAATTTCCTGGACATCCCGACGCATGTCTACAAAAAAAAGGAAAAACATTTTAAGAGAAAAAGCAGCCTTTGTGATAAACAAAAACCAGAAATAGGCTTCCTAATGAGGTAAAGACTGATGGAAATGGGGAGCAAGAGAATCATTTCAAGGGAAGATTTGCCTCAGGTCTGTCTACTCTATTTTCGCCAAACCTCATAAAATCACACCCACAGTAACAATACAATGGAAAGAGAAATGAATTTGGAATAAAGATTTGAGATCAGGTACCAGCTGTGTTTTGACCAGGCAAAAAAATATGATGAAACCCCAAAGCCCACAACTATGAAACAGAGATAGAATCAAAGAGACAGAGGCACCCAATGATAAGACCTTTAAAAAACACTTTACCAGGCCCTTCTCCCCAAGCCCCAGCTGTCTACAAATACCACACACCTATCATATTCCAGCTGTTAAGAGTCCATTCCATGTTTCCTCTGGATCGCTTTCCTATCCAGTCAAGCAAGTATGACATCTCTACCTGGAGCCTAAGAACTCACCATCTAGAATAGGCAAAGATCATTTGGAATGACTGGTCCCTAGCGCTATGTCCATCCCCACTTTCTTTCGCCAAATTTGAATTCTTATAGGAAATT